GTATGCATAATCACCACCTGGCTCAACCTATATTTCTTCCTTCCTTCCTTCCTTCCTTCCTTCCTTCCTTCCTTCCTTCCTTCCTTCCTTCCTTCTTTCTTTTCTAAATAAATTTATTTAGTTTACATCCTGGCCGAAGTTTCCCCCACCTCCTCTCCTCCCAGTCCTTCCTTCCCACTCCCCTCTGTGTTACCCACCCCCAATCCATTCCCCTCCATTTCTGTTCAGGAAAGGGCATCAACCTATCTTTCTGAATGCTCCCTAAACCACCCCTCTGAGTGTCCTTTTCTGAAATGAGGTAAACTTAATCCCTGGGCAATCTACAATGAGGTCCCTGCTCTGTCTTGTCACATCCTTCTGCTGGTGACTGATGCTTTTCCAGAGAGTAGTAACATCACCCTTGCTGGGATCCCAAGTCCCTTACTCAGTGGGTTTTCTATAGAGTCTTTCCAAGTTTAACAGCATCCCCAAACCTTCTAGAAAGGCACTAACTGTCTGTGAAGGGTTACTGTTGTCACACAAGTTTTCCAGTGCTGAAATCTCAGGGCGAGCAGACCTCACTGAAAGCAGACCGCAGTCTGGGTCTTGGCTAAGGACTTCAGAAGCTCCACCCCTGTCATGCTGTCTGTCTGTCTGTCTTCGCCAGACAGTGACTGAAAAAGGGGAAAGAAAAAATAAATCTCTGCTTGTAGATCATGCAATAATTAAATGGAAACTGGATGTTTAAATTGCAGTTGGAATAGAAAATTAAATTATGTAAAAATGTTATAGATTTGGACAAGTTTTCATACTGTTAATAAATCTATGCATAATTCATTTTCTTGTAGGCTGTGACAAAATAGCATAAATAACTTCATTTGTAAGATGGTGTTTTTTTTTTTCCATTCTTAATTGGATGATGGCTAAAACCATTTAAATGCTTTTGGGTGACTGAATATATAAATGTTTAAAATGAGCAGTTATAATAGGCTTCCAGGCAGATTTGTTTATTTAATATTACTACATTTATTTTCAGATAGTACAGATGTTGCATAAAGATTGCACCCAATATGGTCGAGTTATTTATTTACTTACAATCTTATTCTTGCCGTGCCGGAGATGGAATGCAGGGCCTTGCACATGGTAGGCAAGTGCTCCATCAGCAGGCCACACCCCAGCTCTGATAGGACTTTATATATCTATATCATCTACAGCTATATTAGCTCTGGTCTTGGAGAGAACACCAGACCCTTATCACCAGGTACTGTTCCAGTCACCTCACACCTGTCCCCCTTCATTCTGTGACAATGTAAAGGCAGGCGCATCAGCCACATTCAGCTGATGAGGGAATTGTGTGTGCTCATGCATGTGGTCGGCGGTCAACCTCTGATATTGTTCCTTGGGATACCATCCACTTGGTTGTTTGTTTTTGACAGTGCTGGGAAACTTCACCAGTTTGGATAGGCTGGATGGATGGCCACAGAGCTCTGGGGGTCCGTCCCCAGGGCTGGGATTACAAGTACCATCTCCATGCCTGGCTTTTCCCATTGGTTTTGGGATTTGAACTCCGGTTCTCCTGCCTGTGTGGGCAAGCACTTAGCAACTGAGCCATCTATCTCCCCAGCCAAGGAATGGTTTTTGTTTTTGTTTTCCTGTGTGTGCCGTGGTGATGGACTCTGGCCTCACCAAGTGCTAGGCAGGCACTGTGCCTTTGAGTTCCATCCCCAGCCCCAAGGGAAATAGTTTTATGGCCTGCCTGGTACCTGTGCCAATTGTGAGTGATTATTTTTAGTCTTCTTTCTCTGCCAGACCTTCCTCCTGCCTCTGGGAAGATGTGTTTGCAGTTAATGTGGCACCAAGGCCAATAGTTGGAAATTAATGCAGGGCCCTGTCCCTGGGATTACTAGTTAACCACATGTATGCACTGGGAATACCTTTGAGAGTCCACTAGCCAATAGTAAGAGTCTAATCTTTTGTCATTTAGGGAAATTATCGCCAATCTAAGTCAACCATCGGTTCCAGCGATAACTCATCTCCTCAGCCTCTGAAGAGGAAAGGGAAGAAAGATTCAAATTCAGAAAAAACCACAAAAGTGAAACAAAATGTGAAGCCGAAGGATTCCCCAAAAGCAGTCCTAAACAATGGTTAGTGTGGTTTTTGCATCGCTTATATTATTATCTTTTTATGGCTGTGGATCCATTTTAAATTCTTTTTGTTCTAAAGATTTTCATTTTTAATTATGTGTATATGTATATATATGTATATATATATATATATATGTATGTATATATATATATGCACACGTGCACACAGATGCTAGGAACTGAGTGTGAATGTAGCAAGAGCTCTTAACCACTGAGCCATCTCTCTAGCCCCTCAATGTTCATTCTTAACTTGATAATGTTCACTTCTCCAGGCTCACAGAGGATATTCCTTTTTGTCTTGTCATATGTGAGGCTGTTCTAAGAAGTCTTTCCCTGGGCGAGAAGCAGCTGTTTCTCACACTGGGCTTCTGTTTGGGATCAGATGTTGGCCTTTGAGAATCTTTGCTTTGAGATCAGATCGTTGTTTAAGGCAGTCTTATTAGGACAAAAGGGAACATTGCCATCTTGTGCACCCACCAAGAGTGCTTGCTTGGCATCACACTTCGTCTAAGTACTGTTGACTGGCCTCTGGGGTTGAGGGTCTACACTCATCATTTGCTGGTATTCCCAACTCACTTTTCTTGAAAAGATGTTCTGATATCCAAAGTGAATACTGGCCACACATAAACTTTACTAAGAGTAGCCATAAGATAAATTTAAAAATTTCTTATTTGAGCCAGCCATGGTAGTTCATGCCTGTAATCTCAGCACTTGGGAGGTGAAGGCAGGAGGATTAATTAGGAGGTTAAGGCCAGTCTATGCTATATAGTGAGTTCAAGGCCCTCTGGTTCTCAAAAACAAACAAAACCCAAAGCAAAACAATTTGCATTGGTCTGAGAATCCACGAGTGTGAGACAAAGTTGTCCTGAGTCAGGACAAGTGCAATGGAATGGTGGACTTTCACACAGGTTTGTGGAGAGGGGCTGTGTTTGGTTTCATTTCAAGTGCATTCTCAATCGGATGGGCTCACAGAACGGAGAGAGATTTGTGCCAGCCAGCTGCTGGCTGGAAACAGAAAGTGGAGCGGTTGCTTTGTCTCTTCTACTCAAGGTCCATCCACATAGACGAGCGTGGGATGCTCGGGGTGAAGACTGACTGGAGAATGCTTTGAGTCATCAGTAGAACCCAGGCCCCACATGGGAACTCCATGTGACACGAGGAATCATGTGGTATTCCCAGCTGCATGGCAGCAGGAGCTCCTGGGAGGGTTAGAGGATGCTGCATAGATGGCCGAAGAATCGGAGAGGCAAGTGGTGGAAGCTTGAAAGAGCAGGCTAAATGATCAGGAAGCCTGGTGGCTGAGGCTGGAGGATCTCAAGGCTGGGCTGGAGAGTCTAGTGAGCTCATGCTTCATAAAACACAAGAAGGGGCTGAGGATTTAGCTCAGCGGAAGAGCACTTGTCTGATGTGCATGAGACCCTAGGCTCACTCCCCAGGGCTGCCGTGGGGAACAGCACAGGATAAATGCATGTCTGGTTCCCCAGAGAAGAGCGAGAGGAAGGGGCTCCTATCCCAGGGGCTCGATGGTGGATATTAGCTTGCTGTTAGATTTGCCGGGCCTCGTCCTTCTGCTGGCGACCTTAGGCAGTCAGTCTGCTTCCTCCGTCAGTCCCACTGCCCCACCGTCTTCCTCCTAGCTGTCACCTCAGGTTGTGATTTCCCTTCACTCTTTGTATGCCCACAGCCTGTTATGTCCCGTCCAGAGACAGGCAGGGAGGAGATCAGGATGAGCGATAGCTGGCAGGTATTGTTGGGTGCCTGTTGTATAGCGGGAAGGACAGGGAAAAAAGTTAGCTGGGAAAACAGGTCATTTTTGAAAGCTAAAAACAACAGAGGTCTTATTGTGACAAACATATATTGCGTGTGGAAGCTCCTAAAACTGTGTATGGACTGTGGCGAACTGCTGTTGGTTTGTTGAGACAAGGTCTCGCTGTAGCTCAGGTTGACCGGGAACTCACTATGCAGCCCAGGCTGGTCTCAGACTCATGGCAATCCTCCTGACTTAGCCTTCTGAGTGCTGGCATGAGCTATCCAGCTTCTTTTTTAAAATTCCCAGCACTAGCCTCGGTGTAATAAAATCAAGGCATTTAATACATGTCGATCAAATAAATGGTGGAAATTAAAGATGGCTGAGTCTCTGTAATACTTTAAACCCCACTAAGAAACTGGACCCATTTAAAGCTTTTAATAAATTATTTAGTTAAAGGGAGAAGATGCTATTTGCTTTTTGTCTTTGAGGTTCTTATCAGTGCGCAGAAGTCCCATGTCTACTTACAGTATGTGTATTTTAAATCTTTGGGCTTACTAGTGGTCCCTGTGCAGGCTGGAGAACACAAGGTTGGATTAGCGTTCCTTCCGTTGGGAAGCAGGCTGTGTGGGCAAGTTGAACGATCAGCATCCTGGCTCCTGTGGAAATTCACAAAGAGTCTTCAGTAATATTTCTATAGTATTTAATACTGAAGCAAGTAGTTTGTAAGATGTGATCCGAAAAGGTGGACCCCTTCAGTGCCCCGGGCCTGACGTTGAGAGAATGCACAGTTGCTTCAGGTGACCTCCTATCCTAAGTGGGTATTTTCCAAGCTAGCTTTGTGTTGTGAGGGCCACAGGTTCTTTTTTTTATTATTAAGAAATTTTTTTCATTCATTTTACAGACCAATCAAAGATCCCCCTCTTCCCTCCTCCCGCCCCCAGCCTCCCTCCCCAACCCATCCCCACTCCCCGCCACAAGAAGGTAAGATCTCCAATGCGGAGGCACATCCAGTAGAGGCAAGTCCAAGCCCTTGCCCTTGTCTCAAGGCTGCACGAGGTATCCCATCATAGGTAGTGGGCTCCACAAAGCCCCCTCATGCACCAGAGATGGATTCTGATTCTGCCACCAGGGGCCCCCCAAGCAGATCAAACCACACAATTGTCTCGCCATGCAGAGGGCCTAATCCAGTCCCATGTAGGTTCCACAGCCATTGATCCAACATTCATGAGTTCCCACTAGTTTGGTTTGGTCGTCTCAGCAGGTTTCCCCATCATGGTCCTGAGGCACTTGCTCATAGAATCCCTCTTCTCTCTTTGACTGGACTCCCGGAGCTCTGCCTGGTGTTTGGCTGAGGCCACAGGTTCTTAAACAGCTCTAGGTCATTATTCCCTGCAAAACTGTGAATCTCTGTCAAACAAAGGTCTTAGGACTGATTTTCCCTCCACACAAGGACTATGCTGCTGATTTAGAAGACTTAGAAGAACTGAGATGAAGAATTTACACATATTTTTCTATGATAGGAAGAGCATACGAGTCCCCCCCACCCCATAAACCTTGACTTTCAAAAACATTTATTTTCCATGAAAAGAAAGGCGCAGTGCTATCGCTGCAGCTGCCACTCAGTACACTGACGTGCATCAGTTCATTTCTGCACGATTGAAACCCAAGCAGCTTCCTTACAGACCCTCCCCAAGACGTCCTTGACCGTAAGAAGCTCCCAGACTGTAATGTCACGTGTGTCTCTCCCCTGATTCAGCCGCTGTATTCGTTTACAGTCGAAGCTGCTCTTTACTTTAATGCCATCTGTTTCAGTCATTGGAACCAAGTGTGTGCTTCTTGACGCTCAGGTCTCTAGAGGACTCAAGCAAAAGGAATGTGTAGGATGCAGGGACTCCAGGTACTGAGTGAAAAGGCACAGGAGCTGCTTCCAGAGATGAAGCCTTTGTTTCCTCTACTAAAAAGTGGATAGGAAGTGGGGAGAGCTATTTGGTTGTATTTCAAAGTCTTACATTTTAAGGTTAGAGTGAATAATTAAGATAATTTTCTAGTCTATATTAAAATATATACAAATATTCATTTCAATGCTCTTTACATGTATACTATTATTATATTTAAAAAATAATTGTGGTTTTA